CATAAGAATTGTCATTCTTATCTCTTGCCCTAGAATCTTCCTCGATGCGAAGATGTTTCTGCAATTGTTCCAAAGAGTGATTTTCGGAATTATACATTATTTTCTTCTGATATCCTTTCCAAGTCCCCGGGAGTTTAGCAATAATTCTTCCGACTTGAAAAATTTCCGAAATCTCAATCTTTACCACCTTCAACTTGTTGACAAGAACTAGCAATTCATGGATTTGTAGAGGAAGGGGAATATTTTCAAGATACTTAAAGTCAAAATACTTAAAAATTAAGAATTTCTTAGTACATTCTTCTTCAGCTTTGTACTTACTTTCCAAAGCGTTCAAGATTGTTTCGTCGAAAATGTGTTAGTGTAGAGATCATACAATATGTCAGAAAGAACATTGAGAATATGACCATGATATATAAGTTCAATTTCTTGGTGCTTCTATCTTTCGGCTTTTATGGCATTTGTCTCTCCATTTGGTAGTTCGTGTAGCGAAACCAATTTTGGATCATGCATGCAAAATATCTTCAACGTCGTTAGTAGAAATTTCAATTTGTCTTGCCATCTCGTGAAGTTGGTGCCATCAAAACGATCCAATCAAACAAAATCTTGATTCATCAATTTTATTGTCACCATAGTGGTTTCATTCTCCATTGCGCACACAATTTCGTTTGAGAATGTTGGAAATTATTGTTTGTACAAAGAGGGAACGGAAACGTAATTGCCAAAATTGATATTTCAAGTGTGTTGTAATGAAAGTCAATCACCTATTTATAAACCTCATTAAGATCCCATGAAGTGATGCCAAAATAGGACGAAAAGCCGCCAAAATTCAAACAATGGCCATAAACGACTAGTTTTTAACACTAGGCATCACATAGGCCAAACCTATACGATTGCATAGTTAGTTCCATGGCAGGGAACCGCATGCAGAAATGGCCTATGTGATCGCATGGTATTTGTTTTGGCCTTTATTCCATTTTTTATTTCATACTCGTTTTATTAATTTTGAACAACATACAAACACCCCTTCGATTCATTGATTTATAGGGGGGCTGTCTCCCCCCATTTTCTTGAAACTCAATAAATTTAAATTTTCTGTTGTTATCAAATATTTATAGCATTCCCATAAATGTTACATGTAAATTTGTTGTTTTTATAAGATGTTGTGTGAGGATAAATTATAAAGCATGATGCACGTTCTTTCGTAGAAAAGATCCCTATAGTTTTTGTTGAAAAAATGATGCTTCTTGATCGAACTATGGATTTGACCCTCTTTAAGAATTTCTCTTATGATACTTATTTGCTCACCTTTATGGATTTGTCTCAAAAGAAGATCTTGAAAGATGACAATTTGGTTCGGCTGAAAACAAAGTATCCCATTACTTATAATTAAAAATCAGCTTAATTCAAAATAGATGCGTCGAGCTTGTGCTACATTCTACTAATATCAACTTTTTTTTCCTTTCTTCTTCTTCTTTTTTCAAAAAAAAAAAAAAAAATTGTTGAACATAACATATTTGAGCCGATACTTTCCTCGAGTGGAAAGATTCTTGTTTACCACATTTTTCCAAAAACTGCAATATATATATGTGTGTGTATATATATATATATATATATATAGAGAGAGAGAGAGAGAGAGAGAGAGAGAGAGAGAGAGAGAGAGAGAGAGAGAGGGTTAAGCACTATTCAATATCAATTTTGACTAGATAAAAGAAAAATGAAATAAAATCAATCTTGGAATTTCGATCTCTATTCGATATCAATTTTCAAGCGTCCGTTTGGCTTGAACTTTGAGAAGTCACAAGGAGTTTTTGAAACTCAAAAATTGCTTCGGGAAGAGAAAAAACTTTTAGAATTTAATTTTTATATGCTAATTAAGCCCTTGTTTGAGCCCCAATTTTTATTTTTTAATAATATATTTTTCTCCAAACTCATTTTTAACAACATATTTTTTTAATAAAATAATAATATATGCAAATCTAAAAATTTTTTCTACTTTTTAATCACACATTATTCAAAAATTTACTATTCCAAAATTTATTTTTACTAAATAATGGAACTCAAACAAGGACGTCCCCATAGGCTTCCTTTAGCATGACAAGAAAGGGCTTGTCATGGAAAGTGAGCAAGTTTCCAAATCATGCAATATTGGGTCAATCGAACTTTTTCTTGTTCTCTTTCTAAATACTTCAAAAAGTAGAAATTGATGGACGTTGTAAGTTTAGGATATTATTTTTCCAACGAGTGAATATTATTGTATAAATTTTTTATTTAATAAAATTTTTGACCCTTCGTAAAATTTAATCCTTCTTTTTTATATTTTTTTCATCTAGTATTTTTTTTTAAGTCTGGGTAAATTAAAAGAAATTAGCTCAATTCCCAACATTAGCTCCTGTTTGGGCTTCATTATTTCAAATTATAATAAAGGGAATAGTAATTTTTAGAAGAATGTGTAGGTAAAAAGAAATGAAAAATTTTTAGATTTACGTATAATATTATTTGGTAGTATAAAATTGCGGTAAACTCTTCATATTTTTCAAGATGGCAGGTGGGCTTCATCTAGTAAATTAGGTAGCGTTGGGCTCAGCTTATTGGAGGGTAAGTCCATATCATAAAAGTCCATCTCAAGAATGGACTTTTTTTTAACAATATTTTGTCAAAATTATTTTCAACCACATATTTTATAAAATTAATAATAGTTTCTACTTTTAATTACACAATCTACGACCAAAAAAACACTTACTAAGTTCACGTACAAGTTTATAAGTTAGATTTAAAATGAATAATGTTATTATTAAATAAAGTTAAGAACATATAAGTTGCTTATTTTTTATACTAAGGTAATAATTACTTTTCAAATAAGTAATTCCTTTCTACTTAAAAATAGGTAAAATTACTTATTTTGAATGAAATTTCTGGCCCATTTTTCCTAGATTTCTCTATTACACAACATTGATGGGTATATTGGGCTGCAAATAATCCAGCCCACCAGACACCAATTATATCAGCATGTAACTTTGCTAATATAACTAGCAACTTGGTTAGTTTTCTTTTAATAATTACTTAAGAGTGTATTCAATTGGGAATTTGAAAATTTTGATGGATTTTATTTAAGTGATGATTTTTGTGGATTTCGTAGATCTTTTAAAGATTTATATAGAATTAGCGGAAGTCTTTCATAGACTTCTATAGATTTTCATTTTAAAAATTTTATAGACTTTTGTGGAATTCAAAAGACTTTTGAAGACTTTCTTTTGAAATAGAATTTACATGGATCTGATGTGAGATTCTCACATGCGAGGTGTTAGTTCTCATAATTCCCCTTTTTCTTCCCCTTCTTCTTCCGATATAATAAAAAAAAATTGAAAAAAAAAATATTTAAGACCTTAATTAAATAATTAATAATCAAAATTATATATATATATAGTTTTTTCATATAAAATTTTATAATTTAATAAAAAAATAATATTTCTCACAAAAAATTAATGAAAAAAGAAAAAAATGTTATAAGAATCTTATTTAATTTTTTCAGAGAAAATAGAGATAAATAATAAGAGAGAAAAAGAAGAATAAATGGAATATAATAAATAAAATAAATAAATTTTAACATGTCCATAGAAGGTTAAAAGAAAGAAAGATTGAAAAAAAGTTTTTTTTGTGAAAATCTCTCAAAATCTCGTGATCTTTTTTTTTTTTAAGTCTTCCAAAATCTCGTGATTAATGAGAGACAAATTTTAAGATATTATATAAGTACTTTCTGCTTACAAGTTGGTACTCCATAAATATTTATAAAAGTCTCTAGAAGTTATTAAAATTTGAATATCCCAAGACTTTTAAAAAGTTTTAATTGAATACATTCTAACTTTTAGAGACTTTTTAAAAGTCTTATTTGAATACACCGTGATTTTTAGAGAGTTTCAAAAAGTCTCAATTGAATACTCCTAAATTTTTTAAATCTCAAAAAGTCATTAAAAGTCTCAATTGAAAAATTACTTAATGTAAATACTAACTATACATATTTTGGTCCTATTTAAGTTCAGCTAAAAAAAATGAATTAAAATTTAAGTTAAAGTAAAAATAAATAAATTTAACAAAATATTTTATGAGACGTGCAACTTTTGAACCATATATTCCATAAAATCTGATTTTATCCAACCAAACAAGCCAATGAATCTATGTCAATTAAGTAAATATGTTTCAAAATTTTAATCGGGTAACTACATTTTATTTTTATTTTAATTGGATAACTCCATTTTAATTTGATTTCTATTAAATAAGTACATTTTTATTTGATTTCAATTAAGGCAACTTTTTTTGATGATATAAATGAATAACGTGACAATAAATAAATAATTGTCATTATACGTATTTGCTGTCATGGGATCACTTGAATGAATGAATAGATTTTTCTTGGTGTTGCTCAATTGACCAAATTGTAAATGCCAAAGGGTGGCTGGCGTCGATGAAACTGAGAATTTTCGCCGCTACGGACACTTGGAGTATTGGACAAATCCCAGAATTGACTCCTAGAAGAAAACGAAAAATACCTGGACCAATGATCCAACCAATTAACTATTTTCAGATGAGACCCTCGAAACCCCCGTCTCTTCATTAACACATTGAATTTTCAGAAATCAATTATCCGTTCTTCAATTTGGCAAATCACCCACCTTTTTCGTTTACCTTCCCTAATTAATTGTGCCGGTTTTATTCCTTATTTTTTGTTTGTCTACAAATTCTCAGTCAAGGGATTTTCTTTTCTGCACTCTTAATTTAAATCCTGATCAAGCTTAAAACGTCTGAAAGTTGGCACCGATCTGTTTGTTCAAAATTCTTGATCAAGCCCACAAAGCAATTTTGGGTTTGTTCTTGAATTTGCTTCGAATTCTTTAAACGTCATTTTTCCAGCATTCTGATTGGGATTAACTCGGATTATCATTTTTTCCCGAAATTTGAACGAGCTCATTTAGCAATTCTAGGTTTTTTTAAGATCAGAGTTTTGTGGGGTTCACATCAAATATTTGTTTTTCATCAAAATTCTGATCCGTGATTAGCCCAGATTTCTTTAGAGCTATGAATTTCAGAAGCATGGAAGAGTTCTGGCCGTTTTATATGAATCAGCACTCAAAACCAGCCACAAGACGTTGGCATTTTGTGGGCACTTTGTGTAGTATCCTGTGCTTGGTATACTCAGTGTTCTTCAATTGGCGGTGCCTGATTCTCGCGCCTTTATTTGGTTACTCTTTGGCTTGGTATAGCCATTTCTTTGTTGAAAGGAATGTTCCAGCAACTTTTGGGCACCCCTTTTGGTCTCTGCTATGTGATTGGAAGATGTTTGGACTGATGCTTACTGGCCAAATGGATAGAGAAATCAAGAGGCTTGGTAAGAGGCCTATATTGCAAGCCTCCTGATTTTAGTTTGTTTAAAAGATATAGTTTTAATAACACGTGAATCTTTCTATATTTTGTCCGAACTTTATATATTTGCCTTTTCTGTTCTTTTTAATGGACTCGTGATCTTGTACAACTCTTATCATGAAGCTTGTACTTTCTTTATGGTTCAATGCAAAGCTGTCGAGGGATTTCAATGTTGGACACACAAGCCTGATAATACTCCCTCAACCTAATATTTAGGGTATATTAAGCGTTGTATGCATGTATTAGGTCGTCCTAATCTTGCTGCATACAGATTGGATTATTTAGGGTGAGAGTAACACCATTGTAGTGTTTTTTTCTTCTTCAAAGTAAAACTGTGGGGTTGAGTGGATTCAGACGGTGAACCACTATAATCTGCATTTTTCAAATTTCGTTTCGCTTAATATTGGTTTCTCCTGATCGGAATTGGGCTTTATCCCTAACATCGAAGTATAGCTGCTTTTAGGTTAAACTCGTGACCATATCACCTCCATTAGGGCTATGTTCTTATGTGTTTATTGAAGTAAGCTTTTCTCAGCTTCAACAATGCATTATGAAGGTTTCATTTGTAATTTGAAATGGTTGTTGTTCTATAATCATTCGTAGATTTTAGATTTTTATGCCCTACATCTCACTACTTGCTTCAGAGGTAATTACATCAGTATATAGAAGTCTAGGGAATTAGACCAGCCTGCCTAATAAAAACAGTTGGAGGGAAGTACAAGAAAAATCTCTTGAATGATCCTCCCATTGCAAATATAGCGTTCAATTCTGTTTAGATTCTTGAATACTCAGCATGGTATTTTTCAGTTTTAACTCCAACAAGTGTTCCGGCCTTGTGCTGGAAATTGCTCTTGTTCATTTCTTTGCATATCATCAGCCGAGAGACAGCCTCAAATGTGAGTCGTTGAAATTTTATCCTGAAAATATCTGAATCATATTTCTGTTGTGAAGGAGGCGGCCTTATATGGTGCCATTAACTTGTAATATATCAGCCAAATTTCTGCGGGAAAGGGGCAGGAGAAGAACAGCTTATCCATTGTCTTGTCTGCACTTTTTCTCTGAACACACACAGTAGTAATGCTATGCCATGATGGAATGATAAATGTTTATTTCAGGACTTGATTGCCCTTCTTCGACCCTTACTGCCAAACTTGAGAACAGAGAGCTAATTCGTTCTACAACAATGGTTAAAGAGGTTAACATAACTAGGTTAAAGAGATGATTGAGAATGCCATTCTCTTTAAAATTGAAGGTCATCCATAGAAGGCTAAATCAATGAACTTGTCTTGAAAATTTGAGCAAAAACGACATGGACAGTTATCTTTCTTCTTTGAGTGTGCTCGTCTACTCTCTCCCTCTTTTCCCTACTTAACTTGCTTTGCATGCTCAACATCAGATTTCAAGAATTTCTTGTTACTTACAGACACCCCAGATTTCTAATGTCGGGATAGATTTTTTTAACTTGTTTACCTAATTCATTCTTCAATAACTAGATTTAAAAGTCATTGGATATATATGCATTAAGCTTCAATATATTATTATAGTTATGTTCTGATTGAGATGAAGCCTCATTCTATACTCCTATTTGTGGTGGGTGCTGCTGGCAGAGTAGGGTGGATTTACAGAATTGAGAAATGTGAAAATCAACTGATCTTGAGAGGATGATGAATGACTGTTCAATTGTGTAATAACTAATTACTGTACAGAGTACTGGACCGCTCTTCTTTGTGGTGACATGGAAATGTGGTAGTGCAGTATCGTGGACTACTAAATGGCTTCACTTGGGACGGTGAAGGGGGGCAGAGGTGCTATGTGGATGTTATATGATTAAGCAATGGAGCATTCCATTATTGCAAATTCTAATGGACAATATAAGGAAACTATATGCCCTCAAATAATATTGATGGCGATTCAAGTAATCTTTCTACCGTTTAGATCACTCACTTTTGCTTCAAATTGAAGAGTTTCACGAGGAAGTTACCTTAATTAATATTTGAAAACTAATTTATAACAGAGCTGCTTCTGTAAGAGCTTTTAGAGGAAGTCATATTGTGACAGTTTATCTGAAAGCTCTTCTAATTAGAAGTACTTTTATAGAATTAACCAAATGAATTAAAAAGCAGCTCTTGAATCATAGAAATTCTTTTTAACTTCTCAAAAATCTTGCCAAACACGCCTTAACATCGACTTGGCTTATTCTATAGTCATTATCCATCAAAGATAAAGGATAGGTTTGATGTGTTTCTTGAGTAATGCGAAACGTGCATAATTTTTGTTGGTCGATTAGTTGGTCATATTTTATTCATGAATGAGATGCACGTCCGAACTTCTTGTTGGATGAGTTTAACAAGGAAACGTAGATAAGTGTCTCTTAGCGCTATTAAAACAGGACTAAAATTGGAATCTCTGTTGGATGTCAACCAAGAATGAATAGAATTACCATTGAATGTTCGTTCTAATCCCCGAACAAAATCACATCCAGCACGATGACAGTCGAACTGTTACAATTTTTTATCATGTCGTCATCTTGTTATTGACCGACTGATCTGGTTCATGGAGCGGTTCAAATTCTATAATTTTATTGTTATTAGAGTACAAGGGCAAGAAACGAACATGCAAAGGACAAGTTTGGCACACCTTGTTAGACTGATTAAGGATTAAAATAATTCTATCTAATTCTTATTTGGTGTTTGATTAATTAACGTTGGAATTAAATTAATATAGAATGCTTAGCCTTCTTTATTTAACCATATAAAATTAATGTTCTATGTGGGATTGGGTTTAGGTCATATTATTCACTAATTTATAAATTAAAAAAAAGATTAATTAATGGAATTACATAAATTTACTTCCAAGTAAGAGCTAAGAATTTCACTTGTAAGTTATTTAAAAAATAAAAAAAAATAAAAAAATAAATAAAATAAGAAGAAGAAGAAGTTATAACTAAAAAAAGTACAAGTAAAAAATGCAATAATAAGCAAAAATGTCACTTATAAACGAAAATTTCATTCTTATTTTAAAAAAAATGTATATAAGTGAAAAATTCATTTATGAGTGCAAAATTTATGTATGAACAAAAAATTTACTTTTGAGTAAAAATTATATTACAAGTTATGAAATGCTTGTGCAGTTATAAGTGAAAAATATAAGACAAATATTCACTTATAAGCTGTTATCAACTTTACAATCTCTCTGATCTCAACCAAAATATCCAAATTGGCTTTTTACAAATGTTGAAATACAGGTTTTCTAGTGGAAAGTACATTAGAGTCGAGAAATTCTAACTGCTGTAATCAACTTTACAATCTCTGATCTCAAACAATATACAACTAAGTGTTTATCATAAACACGACAGCAGCTTGTACCAAAGAATCAAGAATATGAATTTTTCGTCCCCACAACAAAGATTGCAACCACTGAGTTTTCAATACTTGTACAGTTGACATTTTTCTTTCATTCACAAAACAACAAACACTGCAACTACGCGAGAACAGAGCAATACTCATTCAAGTGAACCCTTCAATAACATATTGACAAAAGCCGAAGCCATAGAACTCAAAATCACTGTCCTAAAAAAGCTGCATTCTTGACAACTAAAAAAAAAAAAACTATTCAGATTGATATACATGGTGAGACTATTTGCTAATTCCTATGAGAATAAACACAAGCCCTGATGTGAAGGATCACTTGGAAGTGTGGCAACTGTCACGAACTTGTAAACTGGCAATGCTCTAGATGATCCTTTTGGATAACATTACCCTGTACTGTCAACTTTTACATTTACTAAATCCCAGAAACATTTGGGCAGTTAGCTTCTATTGATGAAACATCTTACACTTATTGATCAATATGTCACCTGCGGCGCGAAGAATTATAGTGTTTGTGGGCTTTGCTCTCACTCTGTATCCTATCTGCATACATTACCAGGGAAATGATCTCATTGATTTCGTTCAAAACAATATCTCCTCCGTGATATTGTCATTTATACTTCTCATCACCTGTTTTCGTTTTGGGAACACCATTACTGGGTCTGATAGCAGATTAAGAATCTGGAGACAATATATAATGATTATGGGATATAAACATACCTTCCTGTACGTGTTAAAGTCATTTGGGGTCCCTTTATCTAGCCTCACCTTCACACCCATACGTCTTCCTCAGAATTCCAAGAACGCTCGATAATGTTTCCCGAGAAGATTGAGGGGTCAGACACATCTGTGGCCTCATTAAAAATTGATTAGAGGGAGCATTGCCAGATGACGACAAAAAAAGTAAAAAGGGACTGAGGAAGTAACAACAAATCCAGAATTGAAACATTAAAATGACATGGATACAATTCATAACAAAGAGACCATTTTAACATACTACGCAATAATTAGCATGTCTAACTGATCACTGTTTAAAACAGAGCAAGTTGTTTTAAAATGAAATTCATTTGCTCTATACCATCCAGATAGGCTGTAGAACGTGCATACGAAGCTTGCAGTAAAGGGAAATTGCAGTGAGACGAACGTAATTTCTGACCAATCAAAATCCTCACACAATCTTGTTCATATTCTAAATTTTAGAACCCAGCAAGGCACATATTACTCCATACTATGTCACATTACTGGAACATGAAGTGTGTGTCTTGCAAAAAGCCCTGCCAAGACAAGCAATTTCCACTTCATTCGCGAATCTTATTATACGGCTAAGAGTAGGACTATCGAGAATGAAAGCTTGAGCCATCACTTCAGAACTTGAATTATGACTTGACTTATAAATGATATGAAGGAAGAAGGTGAGCATAGAGGCAGCAGGGCTTTCTTCAGCCAGACAGGACAAAGAAGGCAGTAGCAAAAATGGAGGAAAAGAAACATTGAAGCACAAGATTTTGAATCTTAATCTTCAAAATTAACATCCGTGCATCAGATTATAAATAATTATTTTATCTTTTTAATGTCACCGCATAAATTGGCACATCTTTCCATTGCAATTTCACTTGAATGCTTGAGAAAATTGATCCCACCAAGGACAAAGGATACATCCCCAGATAACTGTAAATGACTCTTTCGGGGATATAAGACTGTTGCTTCAACTCATAAAATTACTTGAGAACTTGCATTTGGTTTGAGAATCCCATGCCAAAGTAAAAATCCAAAAAGGATACAGAAAGAGTAACATAATTGAGTGAGGCATCAGATG